GACTAATTTTTTCTATATATTTTTAGCTGTCCAATTAATTTCTTTCTATTTTTGGTAGAGACAGGGTCTCGCTCTTGCTGAGGCTGGTCTCGAACTCCTGAGCTCAAATAATCCGCCCGCCTCGGCCTCCCAGAGTGCTAGGATTACAGGTGTCTGTTCTGGATTTTAAAAATGTTTATGTTTGTAACTTTTCTAGGCAAGAGAAATTAAGATCTGAATAGTAAAACAATTGATCGAAATAAAAATATGTAGTAAAAATTTCATAATATGTACATGTAGATAGATATTATTAGAACTAAGAAGATGACTTAAAGAAATGATAAGGAATTTAACTTATTAAGAAAGACAAAATAAATGTTTGAAAAATAAAATACGTACACACTGGCATGGTCATTTGACTAAATGAAGCAGCAGCAACTTGATATAACTTCTATAGTAAAGTAAAAAAGTAATTCAGAAGAATCTTAAATTCCTCTCCATAAGAAAGGAATTTCTACTGCAGGGTGATTCATTTTCTAATGTAAGCTGATATATTCAACCAACAAAACTCTCATAAAGTTCTAATGAGCAATGACTACATGCAAATATTTTACAATGCAAGGTGTTATAAAGGGATAAAAACGTAAGAGAAACATAATCTCCACTTTCAGGTAACTTCGATCTAGTAGAAAGGATGAGACAAGAGCATAAAAACTGTAGCACAAGACCAAATAAAATACTACTGTGCCATAACAGAGATTAGGCAGTGCAGAAGGAGGAATTAAAGCTCTAATGCATATATATTATATTATATAATCCCCAGAACTATGTTTTGGAGATAAAAGAATTGAAGTACATTTTGAAACTGAAGAAGCTTCATACCATAACTTTTGAAAAAAAAAATTTTTTTTCAAGAGCAAGACAAGAAAAAAGAATTTCTCCAGATCTCTTAATTTGTTGCCCACTTCTAGCTGTTACTTCACCAAATTCAGTTCGTACAATCTCTAGTGATTACCCAAATTAAAAGAGAACCACTGAGTTGCAGGAATGTTCTCACTGGCTGCTTGAATTATTATGCCATTGACTTGGAAAAGTTGGATTTGTGTCAGTCTTGTAAATAAGCTTTCATTACTGCACTTGAAAACTTGTCTAAATTTATAATGTGTAACTTGATGCTGGAGAAAGACCAAGTGCCCTGAAGTCTAAAATTCAACAGCTACCAGCTACAACAATGCAAGTGTTCACCATCCCACCCACCTTATCCCACACCTTGGTAAGTGTCTGGAAAAAAAAAAATCAGTGAGAAGTAAAGCTCCATCACTTAAATCAGTTAAATTAAAAGTTAATTGGTCTTTCATATTAATAATTACTTCATTGCTTTAACTGAGTTTCAGAACAGAAAGGGGTCTTAGGCACCAAATGCAAATCATTTTCTAGGATAGCACAGGAGTTGAAGACACAAAACAATGTAGGTAAGAGTGTGGGTTCTAGAGTCAGGCTGCTTGGGTTCAAATCTTAGTTCTGTCATGTATTAGCTGAATGATTTTGTGCAAGTCACTTAACTTTTCTGTGCCTCTGTTTCCTCATCTTTAAAATGCAGAAAATAACAATACCAGCCTCGTGGGGTTGTTGTGAGAATTAAAGGAGTTAAAGCCTTACTGTTGAAGCATTTGAAGCAATACCTGGCATAGTGCTACTATTTATAACTAACGAACTTTGGGGCCCAGAACACATGAGGTGACTTGCCCCAGGTGACATGGCTAATTACTAGTAGAGCTAATTACTAGCACCCAAGTCTCTTGGATCTCAGGGTAATGAGCTTTTCTCTAGATAATATGTCTCTGATAGAGAATGAAGAGCTGTTTTAGCAATTTTATCTTTCCTTAGCTAATATATCAGAATCTGCATGAAGTACCTTGAAACAGAAGCTGTCTTTGGTATTCTCACCTATGGCCTTTATTAGTTACTTTATTGGTCAATTAGCTATTACTTTCGACACTGACATTTCTTACATCTGGCTCACAGACTTTCTCCCTATTGTGTACTGGCTTTAGCCCAGCATATCTGTGCTTCCTCTAATGATACAGAACCACTGATTGGGTCACGGCCAGCCAGGATGTAGGGCATCAGGACAGTATGGAACCAAAGGAGAGGAAAACAAAAAAAAAGAATAAATCATGCAAGGTCAAGGAATCAATAATCATGAAATAAGTTTCCTTGCAAGAGTAACTGGCTCTGAAATCAACTTCAAGAGAAAAGCTGCAAAAACGTTTTGAGTAAGGGCTTTTTTTTTTTGAAGGAAAAGACTAATTTAAGTGCATTGATTATGATATATATGAGGAAAATAAGAGCATTAAAACTTTACAAAAACACTTCCCATTTTCTTAGAGCTGAAAACTAAGAGGAAAACAACTAAAGAGGAAAAAAGCAGTGTTCTAATAGTTACAACTCATTACTCTCAGGCGACGTGTATAATTTTAAAACAAGATAGGTACACAAAAAGTCCTTCTACCAAAAGAAGGCCATGTGTTTTTGAATTTAGCCATCATATATTAATCAAAATTTTGATGCCTATGTTTTTGTTTTTATCATTGTGAAATGAGATCAAACATAGAAAATGAAACAAATAACATTAAAGATTTCAAATATTACATACAATTATCAATCTAGCGTCAACTACCTTTCTCTGCTTTCTACATAACCAATTAAAAGAAAAGTAAAAATTAGGTTTAAAAAATCTTTATCTGAAAAAGAAATGGAAACAGAGAGAGTTATAAAGACTTGCTTTAGCTTATAAAGTAAAATTAATGGTAATGAAGGAACTACAATTTATATTCTCAGAATACAATTTTCTCCTTGAATCATACGAAATAGGTCCAGTGGCTTAATCTATTAAGGAGAAAAATTGTAGAAACAAGCAAATCTAAAGAATAGTAAAAATACTTTTGAAACAATCATTACATAGAATATTGTTAATTATGGTTATTTTCTGCTTATAAACTATGAAATTGCTCTTTTTGATGCTGAAAAATAATATATCACTCCTTGGGAACACCAACATTTATACAAATTTTTACAAAGAAAATTTAAATACCCATTTTAGTTTTTCATTCTCTTCCATAAATTTTTTGGCAGCCTTGTTAGTATTGTCTGCTTGAACTTTAAGTACTCCTTTGTTTGACAGTTCTTTTGCCAGCTGAGTAATAAGTATAACCAGACGTCTCAACACTCTAAGAAAAAAAATCAGAATAATGTATAACTAGATCAATCATCAGAAATTGTGACATTAAAACAAACAGTCACTGTCAAATGGTTCTCCGTTACGTATAGGTGTAGTGAAAGGAGATAATGTTTAAGCAGAACATGATTTTATATTTTTAAAATCCAAGTCTCCCAGTCAAAATAAGCCTGTGTCTCCTTCCTTTGGAATCTTTGTTAGAAGACCAGCATTTGGAATACAGGTTGAATGGAATTTATTAATTTCTTACCTCGTAGAGGCCTTTAGCCTGGAGGAGTAGAAACAGGAAAATTTCAGACAGTACGGCAGGGCCAGTAAGAGAAGTCTTTTCCGGCCCAGTTCAAAATTTGCTATTTAAAGAGCATTGTATAAGGTCAGTCAAACCTAAAAACTGCTGGTTCATGTCTGTTTATGGGTAACTTCTATTGTTAGAATATCTTCGATTATTCATTCAGCAGATATTTGTTTACTCAGGAACTGCTAAGTGTTAAACACTGCTTGGAACTGGGGACACAGCAGGAAGAAAAAAACAACGTCTGTGCCTTCAAGGAATTTAGGTTCTAGCTGGGGAGGCATGAGTTAAGATAGTATTTAATTACAACCATGAATGATACTAGAAAATAAAGTATATATATGTTTTAGGAGAGCTTATAAGAGACCAATCTACTTTGTGGGTAGTGGTGGCCACAGGAGGCTTTCCTGAGAAAGAGGCTAAAAGATGAGTAAGAGTTAGCCAGGGGAAGGAAGGTAAAGAAGGGAGGGAAGAGTGTTCTGGGATAAGGAATACCCTGTGTGAAGATCCTGAAGTGGGAACGAGGTAGGTACACCATAGAACTCAATCATTATTTGTTGCAAAATTGAATGAATAAATACTAAAGGTCAGTGTGGGTGGCATGAATTGTACATGTAAGAGACACGTATGAGACAAAGCTTCAGAGAGAGGCAGGCCTTATGGACTTAGGAAACCTACATGCTTAAACTATTGTTAACTATTTGGGTATATCATCTGAGTTCTTTTATGGAGATGTTAGTTTTAAAAAATAGCTATAGTACAGTGGGAAAACTGAGAAAGAGAAGCATAAATCATATTTTTTAAATTGTGCTTCTATTTTTTTACTTACAGCCAAAAAAATAATGAAAATCCGGAAATGTAAAGATTTCTTTGAGACCTAAAAAGTTTCATCTGTGTATGTTCATAGGCGCCAGGTCTGCTGGTTGAGCTCTTCTCAAGGGCATGGGTAGCGGAATACTTCCTTACTTCTCTCACAGCATCTGTTACAGAAAAATAGAAAACATTACTTTTGGCTTTTAAGAATATACATTTATTAAAAATGGAAAGCAGTTTTAGAATAACTGACCACACTTTCTAATAATAGGCTTTAGGTAGAGGAGCTCTTTTTTCCCCCTGATAGTGCCTTGGAAGGTATTATGCTCAAAGTAGGTGCTCTGTCAATGGATACTAGTGGCAAATTTTGAATTACGATAGCGTTTTTTTTTTTTTTTTTTTA